GCCTTCAACGACGCAAAAGATCATTTCCATGAAATACAGAGCAGAAGTGAAGTGCAGTCCCGGTACCTAGAATCCCGAAACCGGTCACATCCGTGGACGCATGAGTACCGTACTTGACGGTTAAGCGCGCGGCATTTCGATTCAGACGACACATCTGTTCGACAACCTGTTCATAGGCTCGCACTATCTTCGCTTTGTCGAGCTTCAGCTCTTCAATACGCGGGTTTCCGCATTTCAGCCATTCGTACGAATTCACCGCCACTTGCCCACCGAGAGGCTGAAACTGACACAGAAGCTCGAGCACATTCTAAAAACTCACCGAGAGTTTTGGTGTAGTGGCACATGGCCAATTTTGTTTTGAAACCAAATGCTGCAGCTCAGAATTACTCCACGTCATCTCCTGTGTGCGGCACTTCGCTTTAGCCGAAAATCTGAGACTTTCAAGGGGCAGAGGGTCAATATCAAAAACAAATCGATGCACCTTGGTAAGAACGAGGACATCGCCCGGACGCGCTTCGTCCACCACTGCCATTTCATCAGCACGGCACACACTTGTGCCTACTCCACCCAACAGCAGCCAAGGACAACGAACAGTCTGGCCTCCTCGAACCGCTGTCCCAGCTTCCGTTGCAGTATCCTAAAACAGAGCACTCTTCGAATGATTACCTTTCGATTTAAAACGTATGTTGATGGCGTAATGAACGCAAAACAGGGGGCAAAAAAAGAGCTCCATATGTACGGTGAACGCCCAAATAACCCGCACAAGAGAAAATTTAACACGTGCAGTGTCAGCCACAAGGGCCCAAAATATACTTAGTGGGAGACAGGAGTTACTAGGGAGTAACAGACTGTGGTGGAAATGAACAAATGTTATACAAACATAGATAAATTTGGCGAATAGCCCCAAATTAGGAGTTTCTCAGTGCAGCACTAGCCCAACAATATATATTTTTTGGTATGCACATCCCTGTTGATGATTCCCTTTTCTCCTTTCACTTTTTTTGTTCTAACCTTTTCTTCCGCTTTTTTATTTCTTTTTCTATATTTTTATACGTTTTTGCTGTGCAGCGCTACAGCGCTGCTGTGGCCAGTAAAAACGCATATTATAAAGAAGACGTCTGCGTGTCTGTTCGGAAGCGACTGAACTTTGTCTCTCACTTCCATCTTCAGCAATCAGGAAAGCTGGGAGGCTGAAATTTTGGATATATTTCCCTACCCCGTCTGTTGTCCTCCTGTTTTAAAATTTTCGCTCATATGCGCTTAGACCCCGCATAAGGACCTCGGAAAAAACATGCAAATTTCGTTAGCGAGAAACGACTTCGCGAACCAAGCAAGGTACAAAGCTGAAACTTTGCATGGTTTTTTTCTGTGCATGTGCGAACTAAAGGTTTCAAATTCAGTTGTTGCGTACGCTTGTACAGCGCGTACGATCACGTCAAAGTCTGCAACTCCGTACTATGTCAACTCGAAAACTTGCCCGAAAACAGTGGCTGAAATTTTGTCAGCATGTTTATCGCCCATATGGGGAATCATATGCCTAAATTGAGTCTCGATTTGCATTTGCGCCATGACTTAGGGCACTTCAAAGATATTTATAGCGAATTGGATATTTCGCTTACCAGATAAGGTGCGAGGCTGAAAATTCGCTGGGACATTCTACTTTCAAGTGCGGTCTTAACTCCACTTGGAAGTGAAATTCCCTGCAGGTGGTTACGAGAAATACTCAACTTTACTGAAAAATCAGGAACGAGTGCATTTTGCAGGGAACGACCGCCCTCATCCAAATATGTAAATGAACATTCAGTTCATTTGCATATTTGGATCTTCTGGTGAACGACCACTCTTGCAAAATTTCCATTTTTATGCGTTTTTTGCATCTATGCAATGCAGAAAACGCATATTGACGAGGTGCTGTTTGTTTGTGCGTCTGTCACGGTTTTTTATCTCAAGACCTACAAAAATTACAGGGTTGAAACTTTGGGAATTTAATCTACATGCACGTATGGGCCCCAACCCTAAAAATGAGCGTTCTTACCCTAGTGGTACCCATGAAAGTTTTTTTCGGGTAAACGGCTAACTCGGGAATTTGAGAAACTTGGGGACCGGAATTTTAAAGGGATGTTCCCCATCCAAGTGGGTATTAATGAGCTCAAAACCAGCCCCTGATTGTGCGTGTTACCC